GTTGATCACCCTGTATAGCCTATATTTATTTATTTATATATTTTTCCTGGGGGGAACCCCAAGACCCCCTCCTTTTTGGGGGGTATTCCATACCCCCCAGGCCCCCGGTGACCCTCCCCCCAAAATATATGTCTAGGAGCGCCCTTGTCTTCTTTACCTATAAAACACATGGGATACAGCCTTTTCTTCACTGATCACGTAATGCGTGATTTTCTATAAAGTCTTGGAAAAATAAAAGGTAAAATAGATAGAATAAAGGTGTACTGTATGTGGTTTACACACAAATATTCATCAAACTGTGTGATATTTTGTTATTGCAATGAACAATTTGGGAGTATCGTATTGTTTAAGTCGATGGAAAATCTCTGTTGATCCTGTTTTACAAGCAAACCAAAAAGATACATTAGTCACCACTCTATGCGACATATTCTAACCAGAAAATTGTAATCGTATGATTCTATAAGCATTGATAGGATTGCAAAGTACTTCACAAACATTATTTCAAGGGTAATAACAGTCACAATTTCCGCCGACTTTAAAAGAGTCAACTAAACTACTATACTAATGGACACACAACTAAATGAAACAACTAATGGAACAACTCACGATGTACATATAACAGTTCGATATAAGCATTGAGTATACACGTCAGTGGATACGTGTATACCGTACCCAATGATATAAGCAACGGTTCTTGCAATTTATTGCTTATTGTTTTTTAGAGTTGTTTTCGGACTTACTCTGTTTTCGGACGTACTCACACTCATATAAGGTTGTCCACGTTTGTCATTGATAATGTAGCCATGTTACATGGTTACACCCGTTGTCAAGAATATGGTTACAAGTTTTCCGTCTGTTTTTGAATAGCGATACATTTTTTCACATACTTAAGAACCACCTGATTTCGTGCATTACATGTTCGTCTCAATTTTAATTGCTTTAGTAGGCATTATTTTGGTTGATGAGGACTTCAATCGGTCCTTTCAATGATAGCTCATGAAATATAGTACTTTGTCCATTAATTTTATTGTTTGGTAAAATGGATTAAATTATCCTGCAAACCCAAATAGAAATAGTAAATATAGTATTTGAAACAAATCAGTAACATGTTAATAATGTAACCTACATTATTTCCTTGAATTGCATAACAGCAATTAACTGGGCTGATCCTAATATAAATAAATCAATATGTTCTTCATAGGCATAACATGGGTTCATAACATGAGCCGCTGGGGCTGAGCCCAAGGGATTTAAAAATGTAAGGTTGGTTTGCAAATGTACGTGACACGCTCTTTCTAATGAGACATGAATGGTCAAAATCACCTAAGAAATTCGGAGGAGTCCAACGGAAAAATTTCGTGTTGGCGTTATACAGTATGGTTGAAAAGTCCTGGATTGGCTATATTTTTTTAACAATATAGATAAAGTAGTGAGACTTGGTATATCAATAATATAATAGCCATAAATATCTACTGTCTTAAGCTATTATCACTGTTTAATCACTTAAGGGGGATGGACCACAAAGACTAAGACAAAATTCTGATATAATTTTAATACTATTTTACCTGTTTTTGAAATGGCGACCATACAAATGTATGCATTTTAAGCCAAGTATGAATGGATTTGAGTGTGTGATGAGTGGAGCGATCTTGTTGTCCTGTTAGTGACTAAGGCCGACATAATCCTTAGACACAGCTGTTAATTAATAGTCCATACAGTCAATTAATAGCAGCAGAGGTCAAGTTTGGTAGGTATCAAATTAAAGGTTTTAATTATAAAAATACATTGCCGCAAACTCAAACTCAAACGATGATGATGATAATAATGTTAATGATGTAGGTAGCTAAAACGTACCAATAAGTTAAATAGTTTAGGTAGCTAAAACGTGAAAATAAGTTAAATAGAAAAGGTTTTGGTTAAATCCATCAAATTGTTATTGGACACTAGTAAGTACTAGTGCACTTTTTTATATTGATTATATGATTACGGTATATTGATTTACTTTGGATTTTAAAAATGTGAACGTTTTATTTTATTAAAGATTTATGGTGATACGTAAATATTGTGGTGTAGTAAAGTATATTATATTGTAGTTAAGTGTTAAATTTTGAAATTTTAGGGTGAATCGAGATGAATCTTTTTTTATAACATGGGTCTCTCCTACCTACATACCAAGTTGGATACATACCAAGTTTCATAAACATCGGTTGGAAAAGTGTAAAGATGGATATTTGTATGTAAAAAATACAAAATGGCGGATATCTGGTTAACAAAACGATTTTGGAGAAAATGTTATTCTTCATTTTCTGTTTATTTTGACCCAAGGAATTACTAGGTAAAGTATCTCCCCGCTTATTTTTAACACCCTGTTTATGATGTATTCTTATAAGTGAAAAATGTAAGCTGGTAATACAGAAAGATGTTTTATAAATAATATGAATGTACTGGTGATCTGTATATTCATATTTTTCTTGTTCTTAGAACTGTAAATTAAAAGTCCACTCAGCAGTCGCATCGTACGATGTAGTTCTTTCCATGCGTTGCGAAATGTTAAATTTGCCGTCCTCTTCAACCCAAGTTATCTATTGAACCACTGATTGTAAAAAATTCAAAAAAAAAAATATTTTACGCATCACACTTTTGGCTACAACTTTGCCACAGACAAAACCTCCTTAACCCAAAAACAAAAAAAATCTCGCATGCTAACTTTTTCATGCTAGAAATCACGATTTAAAACTATTTCACCCTACATATCAATTTGTATTAATTAGATCGGTTAATAGTTTAAAGTTCCAACAAAATAGTCATCGAGTAGGACTAACCAAGAAGCTCTGTGCCAATTTTCAAAATTTTAGCACAACTTTAAGTACACCAAAACACGAAATTATTGAAGTCATGCGTCGAGAGGACTATCGCTGTTTTTAACAGATTATACTTTTGACCTTCCGGCACTGTTGACTCAGCGAAACTGAACTTATATTTTATCTTATTTCGTTATATTAAAACTGCTGTTGCATTAGGTCAAATTCCCAATAAGTCAATTGCTTTAGCATAGACCACGTTTTTAGCTCGGACTGTACTATTTGACTTACTGGGATTTTTGATCTACAGACACTGCAAACATTGTAGTTTTTGACCTAGCGGCACAGGTATAAATTATTTGACCTTCCGGGACTGTTGACTTTCTGCAACGCGTCCTTAATATACCACACTATACTATTATTTAAATTATAAATGGTATAATGTTACCTGGATCTGCCAAAGTAATCCAAAGGCTGTCTGTCGACTACGCAATATTAGCTTCACTAAGTTGCTCAATATTGTTCAATATTGCTTCTAATATTGAAGCAATATTAGCTTCATCATCAGGTCCTCAAGAACACGTTTGGTTGATTCCCGTAGATGGTACCAATATAGAAAAATGTTACAGCGTGTAGATTTACTAGCATTTATTTGATTTACTAGAGTTGCCAAACCAGTACCTCCAGTTGTATTTCTAGCTCAGACAGAAAACTTTTTGTCTTAACGTTATTCGGTTATTTGTTGTTTATAGTGAGATGTTTATAGTGTGTTGTCATTGACTAGACTACCCAATTTTGCTATCCCTTTATTTTCTACTCACTAGTGGAGGCCACAAGCAAAAATCTCCTCTTCTTTACACAGTATTGTATGGCAACCCTACCTTCCTGGTTACAATTATTTTTTAGAAAGGCACTTAAACATTTGACTTGCGAATTTGTTATGACTATATCAATGTCCTTTTTTAGCAAATTTCAAACTTATATAAATTGGGTTTTTGGTCTCTGGTCATCATTCAAAAGGAAAAAGTTATTTCAGTCTCGTATCTAGGAAATGTCATTCCACTCACGGTAATAGCTTCTTTCCTTTAGAGAAATTCTCCAAAACCATATTTTAGACTTAACATAAGACATGGCTGCTTATCAACCAAGGCCTTTGACACAGTAACCTGTTATCAACAGTCACCAACGACCTTCACTATTCTACAGTTATCAATGCCCTGATTGACTTTGTGATTATGTGCACGAACACCTAGCAAGATTGTAAACTACCTGTGTTAAAGTCAAAACTGAGTTGTATTGATTTCACCCACTGTTGCATTTTGTATGACTAAGCCTGGTTTGATTGATTTTTACCTCTATACAATGAAAATTTAAAGCTTTGTAGCCTGTATCTTAAGCTCTTGTAAAAAGTCCACTGAAAAAATATTTTTAACTGTAGGCAAACTTGTATATTCTATGATTATGCCAATCAATATAAATTTGAGTTAAGTTTTTTATTAGATGGTTTCTTTAGAAAAAAGAATTTTCATAACCAGCAGAAATAGTGTGTGAACTAATTAGTCTTTGGTGTACTTTCAAATTTTTTTTACTTGCCATATTGAAACATGTAGAAAGACAAGTACCACATAATAAATAACTAGGTTGCACTTGTTTACGTGAGGACTAAACAAACCGTTATTCAAATCCAGGATAGTGCAAAACTAAGCACAAACAATTGTGGCAAGAAGATAGTGTATGAGTTACCGTAATTTCTAATTTTTTTTTGTCTATTCAAGTAACATTTATTCAATATTATGTAGGTACACCAAAGTAATACTAGAGTAAAAAGTACTTAGTTCATGTCTACATCTGAGAAAGCAAACACAAGCCGATATGAAAATGGTAATATGGTAAGCTCTAAAACAAAGGTCCTCTCAGCCTTTTCCCTAACAGCACTGTAACCTTGAGTTTGAGGAGATGGTTCTAAAATAAATGTTTACTGAAAGTTTGACAAAATTCTAATCTTGACTCATACCTTTGCTCATACTGACATCTCTGCAATTAACATTCAAGTATTCTGGACAGTTTTACCATTTGGTAAGGAATTGAATATGTTGAATCTTTACTCCAGTTAAAAAGGAATAAAGCTTGACTCGTCACAGCACTAAATAACATGTTGTCACACTGTAAATTTGTCTAGGTGAAAAAACAACTACAAAATAACATTGTAGATAGTACTTTATTGACCCACTAAAATAAAACCGAAACAGCTAGCCTGCAAAGGGGGACAGTTTGAAAAAGTAAATACATTGGATGCAAAACTTTGGGTCATAATCTCACCATTCCTGGAGACAAAAGCTTTAAACCTTTTGTATAATTTGATGCAACACTAGACTGTCTCAAGAAGTAGCGAGATTGAGCTGTCTAAAAGGTGAATAGGACTAACACAGAGAATGAACACGTACTTACTATGTACGCAATAAGTTTATTGCTTGACTGCAGCTTGCGTAGTCATTAATAACACCTAAAACTGTCAAAGAACATTGTGGATTGACAAATTCACTTCTGAAAATACCTTCTAAAGGTTGACCAACATCTAAAGAGCTTTTAATAGCAATTTAAAGAGAAAGCAATTAAAATAAACTTAGATGATTGAATTTCACAGGGTTTAGAGTAGGTCTAAGTAATTTTATTCAGAATGTTTGCAATCCAACTCCTTCACATTATTTGTGAAAAGAATTCTCATCTCAGTTTTGTATGATCTCAGATTCCATTTCTTTGCAGACTTGTTCATCACCAAAACTATAAAAACTCTTTATATCAAAACATTTTTTTAACATAAAACAAATGAAAATATTTTTGACTGGGTTTTTATTTTTTGAATTGAATATTACTAAACAAAGAAAATCAGTTCATAAGGGCAAACACTAATTACTTACTCTCTTCAGTTGAATCAAAGAACAATTTATTAATTATTTGGGAAACAAAAACTTATACTTGCAACTTGTTCCTTCTAAGAAAATGGTTATATCATTATCTTCAAAAATGATCTGGTCATGCCACAAACACAAATTGTACAAGTTATTTGGTAACTTTATCCATAGTTAATATGCTAAAAAACGTTTAATATAATACTAACCCAAATTCAAACTACAATAAATTAAATCAATTATAAAGAGCACTTCTGATACACTTTATAACATTTAAGATAGATTGTGATCCAAGAATAATTAAAATCTTAAACTATGCATTAAAAATTCATCTTGTTAAAATAAGCTAATTTCAAATACAAAAAAATTCTTATGGACTCTATGTTATGGGATCAAATTAAACTCTTAATTCTACACTAAATTTATGTTGCATTATTTTAAGTACTCAATTTACACAGACGAATGGAAGTCTGTACCGTATTTACTATTGTCATGATCTGAAAAATTCTAGAAAATGGTAAACCAGCTGACTGACCACAGTTCATTGATAAAACAGCTGATTATTGAAATAACTGTTTAATAAGAAGCTAACTCGGCAAAGGAGCAGCTTGGAATGCAGTAAACTAAACTATTTTTAAGCTAGCGGTGAGTTAACGGTAGGAATGTATTTTAGAGAAAAAAAGCATAAATGCGAAAGCTTTCACAAAACACGATCTTTCCTGTACTCTAACAAAAATAATTAACAAGTTATAACATTTCAGCGTTTAATGAACAAAATTTCCTAACTGGTTGACCTTTATACATACGTACCAGCCACAGTTAGGATTTTTAGGAAAATTTAATTATTTTATTTAACATTGTACAGTTAGAGCTGTATTAAGATTTGTTAACAATATCTTATTATAGAACAATATACACATATACACGTATACAGGGAAAACATGGAAATGGCAAAAAAATAACTCTCGCAAAATACTCTTCTTAAACTTTACTTAAGCTAACTTTTTACAAACGACCCCATTAAATGATGCCTACTTCTTACCATGAAACAATTTAGAGAGAATTTATTGTGGAAGACAAATAAAACTGAAATAAAATACCTATACATCAATTAACAGTACGATTACGATGTGTAATTGAATATATATTATATTCAACATTTATGGAGTGTGAGCATACAAAAATTTAAGAGATACTATTGCTATAAAAATATATTAAATTATAAACAAAATACTATAGGTGTGTATATAGATAAGAGGCACAAACCTTAGTTGGCAGAAGAAAATGAGTTTCAAAGGAAACAGAATCTTTAAACAAATAATTAAAACAATAAAAAGAGAGGCAACAAGTTTAGAAATACAGGTAGTATAAAGAGAGAGGTTCAATATAGTGTGCTCTCAGCTTATGATTCATCTGATTATAATTCTGATTCAAAGCGTGTCAATGAGTCAGATAGGTGTGGTAATGAAGTCATTCTGACGTGTAATGTCCATTCTCACTTTCCAGTAGAAAGATGCAGAGCTGCCAATGAAAGAACTTATACAAATGTACAATAAAAGAACTTATACAAATGTATTATACTTTGATGGCACCAAACTTTACTAAATTTAAGCCATTTAACCTTTTTAATAGCAACAGCTGATAAAAGGTCACAAATGGATGGATAAAACTATATAGCACTGTCCAAATCAGTAAATCTAGATAATCAGTGATAGAATACAGTACAATAAATAATCAAATGATGCTGTATCTCTTTAGTGGCGCTTTCTATCAGCTGTTTTTGTTCCACACTTGGCGCACACTGAGGGAGCAAGTTCTATGCATTTCCTAATTTTAGACTGTAGCCAATAAGAATGTACAGTGGTGTAAACTATATGATTGCGTAAAACGCTTTGCTTGCTCAGTTTTTGCATAGTTTTTACAGAAAAAAAGAAGTAAAAAAATAATCTTTTCCACCCTGTCATAAAAATAAAATAACATAACTTTTGGTTGTGGAACAAAATAAAAAAATAAATTTAAAATTGTTACCGTAGTAAGTTTTAAAGTTTCTCAATGTGTTAAAGCTCCATAGAAATAATAAAATATATAAAAAAATGAAACCTAAGTTTAACAGAAACCAAACAAATTAAAAATAAATTATAATTTTAGGCCTTTCTGGCAGAATTGTTAATTAATACACTCCTAAAACAGACAGAAAGTAAATTAAAGACCAACACTCGAGACATCCAAATGGGATTGGTGTCCACAAACAAGCTGAGATTGAATTTTAAAAATCAACTTAAAAGAGTTCATTGAATATTCACAGTAAAAACTAGGCCTACACAGTCACTCAAAACATGCGGCTAAACCCTGAATTCACCTAACCTAACCCTTGTTTGATTCACAGTACACAACTATCGTAACACGACTATAATAAATACTTCTAACTCGTAACAGATGCTATGTACACTAATCTGAACTCTACGAAAACATTTAACGTTCGTTAATTACAGATTTACGCACCATTTAGGACCATTAACAATGGCTATGTACATGTTAAAGCTCCATTAATGGACTGTAAACATTTACGAATGTGCCATGTCTGACACAATATTTACAGCTGATAAAGAATTTAAATGTTTTACGAGAAAATTACATTGAAGAATTACCACATGATTTTAAGTCGTGTGTAACAGTTGAGAGGAAATTATTCCTAAAAGGTAAACAAACAAATATATTTTACTCAAAACAATATTGACTTATAAAATTATAAAACACATTCGCAATAGTATTTAACTAAAAACACCCAACCACTAATTTGAAATAAACATCTTACAAATATAGCAAAAAATATACATTTACAGCATTTCTGTAATACTGAAACACAAGTTTCGAAGACGGTAAAATATGTAAATGTGAAACTTTACAAGTTTTGTTATACCTACATGGGATGCTGAATGCCTTGCACCAGTTTAAATGAATATGACCAAATAAGAGAGGATTATTTGGCAAGGTACATACTTCAAAGAGAATTCTTCAACAAATAGTTTTACATTTATTAACAAAATTTCTAAATGAACTTAAAAGACAACTATATTGTGTACTACAATTCTATTGTAAGTAAACTTGCAGCTTCCATCTAAATTCCATTGCCGTTTCAAAGCGTTTAGCTGCCCCATATCATAAACTAAAAATACTTGTTTAAGTTGCAAATATGTAAGCGGTATGCAAGAAATTAGAAAGAAAATCATAGCAGTTTTAAAAATTAGGGACAAAACAGCAAACAATTAGTTTGTAGTTGTACATAATAAAATTTCATTTTCTCAAACCACAAAAAGTATGTTCCACAGAAGAGGTAGAGAGACCTTTTGCAGTACAGTTTTGGTTGCTTTTAACAGCCAGAATATAAAATATGTACCAAGCATATAACCTAACTTGCAATATTAAAGAGCCAAGTCTCATTGTATTCCCTACAAGAGCATGATAGTTGAACTATTTTTTAAATAAATGTTGAATTTTTACTTTACAGAGAACACAAGACATTCAAAGTACAAGGCTATCCGGTTTTGTGTCACAACTTGACATTTTACGACCCCAAAGCACTGGTCCAAAAGGGAAAAACAACATGTTAGTATTGAGTATCCAAGCATTTTCTGTATGACAAGCAAGGCTTGTAACCCATTCTTTAAATCAATCTCGTTAACCACTTCTCTAAATTGACCTGGCTGAGGCAAAACATATAACATCCCAATTACATCATTTTGCACAGTTTCACATTATGTTACATTACGAAGGAGGGAAGGAGAGTTTAGTCGGTGTCTGCCTTCATCCCCCGGACCTCGCCTTGCTTCCTCTGACGGTCCAACTCCTCCTTCGTCTTCTCCTCGAGTGCTCGGATGTCCTCCATTGTCAGCCCGTGCCAGCGGTCCATCCAGCAGAACAGTTGTCTGGAAACGTTCACATGATTAGTATTAACACACAACAATGAATTAAAAAGTAACCTTTTAACAAATTTCAAGTAAAACCTTAAATCTCTATTTCTGTTAGTATCTGTTATCTTAAAGCAATTATGATTGAATAAAACAAAACTCAAATTCGTAATTTTAAATTACCACTAATTAGTGCATCTTTTGAGGGTGGGTTTGCGGCATTGTGTTCTCCTAATAGAGGCATATAACTTAATGCAGGCCTACTACTCAACAAATGCTGTCATTTAAGATCTCCTTCCAACTCCTTGGGGACCTTCACCGGTATGATGGTAAATTTGATACTTGCTGCAAAAAGTGGTGTTTTAGGTGAAGTTTTAAGTGTAAAGCTGGAATGCATTATCTGCCTTGTTAAAAAAATTAAATGCCGTTTCCAGACATTTTGAGAGCCCAGTATAGACCAAGTTTTCCCATTTTTCAATATTTGTTGCTAAAACCCTGACGAGAGACACAAAAACGAACAGACCCTGGATCCATATGAACCAATGTTTGCCAACATTTTCATAAGTATGTAATATTCTAATACATCTAATTTCATTTTTAACATGAAAGAAAATAAGCAATAAAGCCAGGTTTGATTTTCTAAAACCAAATTTAAGACATTTTACGTTATTACTAAAAAACAGCAACACTCAACTCACCGATGGAAGACGGTGAACAACCTGCGTTCACTCTTCTGTATGAAGTTCTCCACTCTGGTCTGTAGGCCGAACCACTTGAACTCGCAAGTGACCAGCTTGTAGCAGGTCATGACCGGGTCCACAGCGTCCACCCAGCAGCCCGTTAGCGGACCTCGACCCGTCTTCTCTGACTTAAACTTGGTCGGGTCTTCACTCGGTTTGTAGTCCCCGCTCGACACCGGGTCATTGGCGATGTCGATCTTGACAACCTGAAAGTATTGTTTTAACCAATTCACAAAAAGGTTGGATAGAGAATTTACAAACTGAGGAGTTGGAAATCTGAAGCTAGAGATTTATTTTTCAAATAATTTGCATCTTTTGGTTAATTGTTGCAGGAAGTTTAAAAATAAATTAAAATTGAGTTAATTTACTGGCACAATAACTGAAAATGGTTTAAAAAACGTATGTAAACAAAGTTATTATAAGCTAAAGCAAGGTGTCCTAAAAAAATTAGTAGAGTCCCGCGAACTTGGCTCTCGATAACCCGGCATTCTGGTTAGCTCGGCCATCACCTGGCTCAGAAAATTAGTGACTTTTTGAGTCCGAGTTAATCATGGTAATCATGGACTCAAGCCAGCTTAAGTCAAATTATTCGCAACTGGTACTAAGGATTGTTTGTACTATATCTCTGATGACTTAATACTGACTTGTAATATAAATAAAAAAACTGTAAAAAAACTTAAAAACTGTATTGTTTATATTTATAACCCTAGTTCCCGATATCCCGGCATTTCATAAACTCAGCACCCTTCCAGTCCACATTACGCCGAGTTTGCGGGACTCTACTGTAGTAGCAACTAGCAAGAAAAAACTGGTTACATAATTTTTAAGTAAATCTTATATTATACTTTTAAAAGAGGAGTTTCTTAAATTAGTAGTAGTATTTCAGCGATTGGCACTCAATAAATTATCCAGTTGACTGTTGAATTAAATGTGACACATCCAAATCTTTACTAACTAATAGGCATAATTAGCCTTCTTTTCAAATTTCATCTTACTGATTCGCTAGAAACAAGTAAATGATGTGTTTAAAAAAATACCCTGTCTGCAGGAAAAAAAATATAAATTAGTGTAATAATTAAAAAAAATTCAAAACATTTACTGAAACACAATATTAGACGCTAAAGCAGTGTTTACACGAGGGCAGTAGGCAGACACTCTAGTGTATTCTAAGTAACTTGAGGCAAGTATCCTGCCCACTAACGGCTTTGTGGAAACACAGCTTTAGTTAGTATATTATTAAGTTTTTGCTTATGCCCAAAGTCTTGGCTATGGATACTAAACATTGTGGAAAACCTGTAGAAGTATAAAGATACTTTTCTTAATCTTATTGCCTAGATGTCACTCAACAAACCTCTCTAATTTTGAGCTTGTCGGCTGGTAGTTCATGGACATTTTCCTTATCACCTCTGTCCCCGATGTGATAGGACTCTATGACGATCATAAAGTTCTCCTTCATGTAGCCAGGGTTGGTAATGACCGTCTTGCAGTAAGGATAAGCGTTCCACGCCTCCTCGTGTATCTCCAGCGAGCCCTTGGGAGCGATCAACTTGATGAACCCAGGTACCTGCACAAACAACCAAAATAGCCAATTATTGAGGGGAAAATTAAAAAAATGTGAGTCAGAAATACAAGGTTGCGTGGTACCATACCGTTTACATACATTTTTAATATTATAGGCTAGCATTAGTCAATTATAGCTTCAGTAGTGGTAGGCTACTGATCTTGAAATATTTGTTGAGCCTCTCAACATTCACAGTTGTTTTATTTAAAAAATAATTAATTAAACCTTCAATCAAGCCACTAACCTTACTCTGAAGGTGGTATATCTTGTAGGTGTACTGCCCCTTGTTGTATTTGCCACCCAGGAGAGGGTAGTTGTCAAAGGGTTCATTCTTTAACACCTCTATTCCCTCTCCGCCTCCAGTCTCGTTCTTACTTGCCTCCGCTACAGAATACAACTGAGCGACCTGAGGATAACAGGTTTTTAAGAGATAACAAACAAAACACTTTTAGGTCTTAGAGACATACTGCCAATTACATGTAATACATGTTATTACGATTTTAAACATTTATGAAAGACACATTAATACAGAGTTCATTTTGAATTCAAAGTTACTAATCAGGTTCTTGGCATTCCAAAATCTAAATCGTGAAAAATATAGTTCTTTGAGTAACAAAACAAAGATTAATATCAGGCCTACTAACACTAGTCACAAGCCTACACTTAGGCTAAGGCCAACTCCCACAGCAGGGGCCCTATTTAATAAGAATCAAAAGGTTAACTAAAGCCAGGTTTTCTTGGGCAAGGAAGCGGAGCGCCGACTTCTCTTGTCTTAGGTAATTTAATAGTAGGTACTGTTTTCCTAGAAACGGAGTGAAACGCTATGTTAATCGCTTTTCAGCACCCCCCCCCCCTTTTCGGTATGTTTACCCCTCAGAAAAGGGTTTCTCAATAACTAATATTTATCGAGAAAGTTTAACATCAATACTGGAGTTTAAGATTCAATTATGCGGTTGATAGATGTGTGGCTTACAGTTTCTCAAAAGTTTCTCATCCCTATTGGCTTTACATATAGATAATGATGACACAATTTATCTCATCATATAATACAACTTTTTGTAAGAGATCAGTTGAATGACCCGAATACTTTTAAAAGTTTGAGATAGTCTATTCTATGTCTAACTAAACATTTGACATGTGTTTTGTGAGGTTGAGAGGTTATAAATATACGAGTATGTAAATTACCACAGTTCTAAAAGAATCAATTGGAGTTGTACCTGGTATTCCTCAACAGTAAGTGGTAACGTGACTCGAAATTCTTTGATCAACATTGCTACCAACTACGACGGACGACACAAAAGAGACGAACACTAACTGTGACTGGCTTGTCTGATGAATTTAATGCATCAGTTGATGCAAAGTCTTCAGTCAAAACTGTAACAAAAGTTCTCAGTAAGTACTATCCGATGATTATTTTGGTTACAAATAAATTAACTTAATAGGCTATCGATAGGGAAACAAATTGTTTTAGTGATGGGGCATTCCATTGCAACCCAAATGTATTCAAAATATTCGATAAAATAAGATCTCATTAGAGTATAAATTCTAAAATGCTCATTCAAATTTCTCTACTAACCCAGGTTTGAGTGACCTAAGACAACATTGTCCAAAAGCAAACGACTGAATTTTACTGTACATCACATCAATACGTAGTTTTGCAATATTACAAGTTATAAGTTTCCAAAACAATTTGTCCAAAATCTGCCTAGAAGTTAACAGGTCTAGAACAAATGTTGAACCTATTTTCTTGCAATCAATTTTGGTAGAGATTGTGAAACAATTTACTTAAACTTGTTATTTATAACAAAACTGTATAAATGACATAGACCTATCTACAACTATGAAATAACAGAAAATTTCCATAATCCAACTGTTAAATTTCAATATTTTCAATGGCAGATCCATCAACATTTAGACTAGGCCTTTGTTTCTCTCTTAATTTTCAAATCAATTTTTTAACCCATTGCAAAAGTTTATGCATAGTACACTTTGATTTCCTTAATGACTATTATCGATGCTATTAATAAAAATGTAAAACATGCAAAAGTTATTATTAGCTATAACTTCTATTATTATCATATTCAAAAATATTTCCGAATTTTTTGAAACTATATATAGGCCTACTTATTTATTTTAGTTCCAATAATACAATCTTTAGTCCCAGCTACACTTGATCGAGATTATTATTAGTTATTTTTACCTAATCCATTAACTAAAGGTAGGTATTAAAAGAATCACTATATAGTAATTGTATTAACCACAGACAATAAAAGATACAAGAATAAGAATGCAGTACCAACTTCAAACAACATTTGTCACGTGGTAAAATACACCTAATTGGACAGGCTCATCAACACTTTAGAACGGGTCTATTTGCGGCAAAATAAACTGGAAACAATAAACACCACTGATGTAAACAGTGCACTAAATCTGTAACATCTGCACAAAAAGAGCTTTTCAGCCAACACTTGGGTGTTAAAACTTGTGAGAAATTCATTTATACAAAGCCTCGGCTTATTTAGGAGTAATTTGGAATGAAAAAAACAACTAATAAAATAGCAAAACAGTAATGAGAAATTACTTAAATATATTTATATAAAATTATCTAACTACAGCATTTTGAATTGACTAGAGTCAAAAAGAATCACGTCCACACTGATTCTACATCCTTGTTATACTCAAAGGTGTTTGAATAAAAGTATTTGAACTCAGGGGAAGCTACAAATTAACTGAATTTGATTCTTTAAAGTATTCAAACCTCCCATCATTAGATTACATCATCAATAATATGATTTTTCCCAGCAAGGATTAGATGTTTTGGATTAATGTATGAAAAAATATCACTATTTTAGAAAATCAGTACGGTAAGTAATAGTAGGTATAGTAGGCTTAGGCATTCTTTGGGTCAAAAGTCTTATTCAATTTATAACCTATTATTAAGATAAGAAACATCTTATCTAAGTTGACATAAAACGGGAACTGTCAAAGTAGCTTTATCTTAATCTTTATTGAGTTAGTAGACACATCCAGTTCAAAATAACAAAGGTAAAAATAGAAAATATGATATGTACTGTATAAAAAAAATGGCTAATCAACATTACTTTAATATAAACTCAATTACATATAACTATTAGCTCTACAACAAACATTATCGATTGAAATGAAATATGGACTTTTTCGCGAATAATAATAACCATAACAATTTTTAGAATGACATTAAAAGTTAATGCTAAGATTTTTATTTATTATAATTTTTAAACTACTTTGAAACCATTTATAAGAGTTGGTAATTTAATTGTGTTTGTAATTGAATAGTCTACTAGCAGAATACCCGTCCTTCGTACGGGGTTGGCATATAAGTATAAAATTCTTATTGCAGTTATACTCATGATTTGTGTATACTCATGAGTTGTGCCATAATGTTCTACCACTATAAATAAATAATAAAAAAGTAAATTAACGAATATTCGCACAATATGAAATCATTATTCATAAATTAAGAACATAAACTTAACTGTAAACAATCCTAAATGACAATTGTAAATGGCATTGCCGTTGAAAATAAAAATAAAAATAAAATAAAATAATCCTACTTTAACAGTTCTCACTGCGCATCACAGCTTTTTGTTGCGGCTTGGTTCAATTTAGCTATGTTGTCATAAATTACAAAAAAAATGAATAGTGCTGCACCCTGTTGGTGAACCTTATAACTTTTAATAGTATTGAATATCATAGAACAACTTGTATAATTGAAACAGCTGACTAAATACTTTAATCCCTTTTAAATATGAATACTCAATAAGGTTAACATGGTAAACTCCAGATCCACTGGGGCAGAGCCCGAAAGGATTTTTGAGATAAGAATATGTCTATATGTTAATCGGGAATATGTGAGCTATCATCATACCAAATTTCAGCCCAATACGACCAGTAGTTAAAGCGTGATTGAACATCAAACAAACAAACAAATAAACAAACAAACACACACACAAACTTTCACATTTATAATATTAGTAAGATAAGATTGCAGTAGTTTAAAGTTACATCAATATAAAAAAATTGCACTTTTCTAATGTTTTTTTGATTTTAGAACACATATATTAAAATATCTTATTTAACCTTCTCAATGAATGTTTTGTATTGAATTAATATTAGTATGACATTTTATCATTGTGTAAATTTGAAACTTTGCAAATACAAATACTTACAGTAGGACTTTTAATGAATTCTAATTTTCAAAAGTCATTATGATGAGTTGGTTTATAAAATGTTAAAACCTACTTTTACACTATTCAAAATTATTAGATTACAAGAAGCGGGACCACGGTTTGTATGTGACATTCTATGGGCCCCGAGAGATATTGGTGCTCTTCTCCCCCCTTCCTTCTGGGGAATTTTTTTCTTTACAAACCTCCCCAAAAAACCTAAAACCGCTTCTGCTCTTGGGCCCAGGCCAACCAGGCCCATTTACTAAAGCGGGCCTGACAAGAAGCCTTTACCAGCTAATGTGTGAAGTACTTTAAGATCATAAACTAGTAAAATACAAAAAAAATTGTAAAATATAAACAATTTTATCTAAAATTTTTTCCTATAACTTCGATAAAACCTACTGCAAAACAACAACTTCTGTGCCCAATATGTAAATAACACAACCACAGAAAGTTAATCATCGACTGTTGATTTCTTAATCAGTGAAGGTCATTTTTATAATTGGTGTAGTTCCGGTTTCATAATTTTAATCTTTCGAGTATATATTCTACTGATATCAAACTTTCCTATAAATGTGAGCAAGTCTTTCGTACCAATTATTAACACACTTTTCATTTGATAAATTGTATACAGTAAGTAACAAATGATATAATTTAACACTAAGTAAATAAAGCAATGTAGTTATTAGTAATGTAAAATTATAATTGAGCGGAGCGAATCAAAGCTCTTTGGGATCAACTCCCAAAAAAAAAAAAAAAAAAAAAACTTCAAATGTTAAACTTGATGAAATAGTTGTAGTTGTATTATATCTATAAACATTTTATTTATTTATTGCTTTATTAAAAACCGTTAAATGTGATCGCTCCGCTCAACTAGCTTTCATTGCTATGAAAGCAATCCTAGTTTATACTAAAGCTTGAAAGTACCCCTAAAACGGTCTGACACAACATTGTACTTACTTTTGTACAAAGAACTATATACAGATTTATTGAACATTTAAATATATCGTTAATTTATTTGGTATCATAGAGGATTTAATATTTTCCAATGGAAGAAAACTTATCAATCATTCATTTAAGTGGAAATTAACAAGAGGCTGAAAACATAACTTGGCTGGTCTTCAATCTCAGTTTAAAATCGATGAAGACAAAATCAAGCATTGTGAAACAGCTGAATATCCCTTGTCCTTGAATGGGTCTGAATCATAAAAACAGCTGACCTAGGCCATGACAGGTGTTTATTTTTAATCTACAAGGCACTTTCTCTAATGTGAGGGAAATGTTGTAATTTGTTTTCAAGATATTAGATAGAATAAGGAGATTACTTTGTGGAAAACACAAACTGATATGATTTAATAGTGGGTTTATTGAATTAACTCTTAACAATGACTCATGATACAACATTATTTTATTTTTTACACCTCATTCCAGTAATATAAGTAATCTAAACTAAATTCTCAAATATTATATTGTATCCTTATTTTTAGGGTTTTCAACGATACCTGTTGTAGGTTACAGATTATTATAACTCTAATACAAAATCAATATAGGTCTAATTTAAGACTAACAACATTATTTTCAGAATTTAAGATATTGAAAATGTCTCTTATAAACTTACGTTAATACAAAATAAGTTGTAGAACAATAGGATGGTTAAAATAATATTACAATGGATTATTCGTAGAATTATTTAAAACTAATTAATACTTTTAAACAGGAGCATCTACTTTATAAACAACAAATTAATATCAAGCTTCAATTAAATGTATTTTACTCAATATCAGAGCCAAAAAGTTTTTGAATCTTGAACTCTATTCCTTTTGTTTAATTTCATTTAAAAGTTTCAATGTTTCTTGGAAAGTCCTTTTCAAATTATTTTGTTCCTTTGATCAACTTCATAATTTCAAATAACGATTCACTGCCATCTTAAATGATTTAAATGAAAGTGTTCACATCATATCATAAAAATGTTAAAACTTATTTAATATTTTTTCTGTTGCAGATTTATTATTATTTGATACAAAATCTTAATTACATGTGAATTAAAGGTTATTTTACATACTTATTTAGTTGTATTTATTATTTTGCTAGTTTATTTAAATGGTTACCTTATTGAAAAGTATATTTTAGACTATTTTTCCTTTCTCCCCCTATACATAGTAGGCT